GGAGATGGGAAGTGTCATTTCCCACCCAGGCCCCATGGCACATTGAGTCCTGCGGGAGATGCAGAGAGGAGATTTCATTCAGGGGCCAACTGGCCCGTCGGCCACGGCCATGGTCACAGTCACAGCCTGAGCCTGTGCTTTGCTTTACAGGGCTTTTACACCGACCACTTCATTTCACCCAGCAACAAACCTTTGTGTAATAACATTTCTCTCGTGTCATGTATGAGAAAATGTGGCCACAGTGGTTAAGGGGCTGGGCTAAGGCACAACCACAGAGCAATAAATGCCCTGTGAGAACGCCCCCGGCAATGAGAGAATATTAGTAGAATCAGAAGGAAAAACCTGTTCCATCTGCTCCAGCCACACTTATTAGGCAATTAATAAGAATCAAGGACATGGGAAAATGGAGCCAAAGGGCAGGTCCTTGCCCTCAAAGGCCTCGTGGCAGCTGGGGATTGCAGGACGGTGTGGTCCTAAGGATTATAGGACACAGTGACAGCAATGGACAGAGGAGGGTCATTAGGACATAGAGAAGACAGTAAGGACTCCCAGAGGGTGATGGGAAGGTAAATGCTTTCTTCAATGAGTAGATAAAACGGTAAGTCTAAGACCCTCTTGCAGAAAGTGGAGAAGTAGGGCGTTCAGGGAGTGAGGTACTTAGCAGGAATTAGGCGTCTACACCCTGCCTCCTATCCTCTCGTCCCACCTTTTACTCCAGCCGCAGCTGTGGCGACCCATCCCTACAGGTGCAGCTGATGCTCCCGGCTGAGCTGCTGCCCCAGGTATCTCTGGCCTTCTGCTCCAGGTTTGCCCTGACACCGCACTGTGGGACACTTGTGAGAACCTGTCCAGTATTCACGCATCCACAACCAGGAGATGTAAGTTAACATCCCACAGGACAAGTCTTGGCCATAGGATGGGGAGCACCAGCAAACAAGTGCTCCCTCTGTCCAGAGTTGTACTGTCTGAGGCACACTCTACACACTTCTAGTAGGCACCAGGGGATCGAGCCTATGATGGACAGTGTCTTGGATGAGATTTACGTTAAAACAGTGAACTTTATTTATGAAGGTGCCATCCATAATGTGGGTAGACCTCATCCAATCAGTTGAAGTTCCAAACAGAACAAAGACTGGCCTTCTGGAGCAAGAAGGAATTCTCCAACAGACTGCCTTTGGACTTCATCTCTACCATTGGCTCTCCAGGGTCTCGAGCCTGCCAGATTTTGGGACTTCCATAATGACATAAGCCAATTATTTAAAATAAATCTCTTCATTCTGTTTGCTTCTCTGGAGAACCCTGAGTAATACAGAGACCCAGTGATCAACTTGAGCATGCACACTTGCATCAGCTCTCCTCTTCTCCTGCTGCACTCTCCCTGACTCTGGAATCACTCGCTTTCAAAATAAACTATGAAGCTGTGTGCACATCGTTGTCTCAGGCTTACTTTCTGGGTGTTCCCCACCCAGTCTGCATATGCACTACAGAGGGCTATCATTATAAAAGGACATTGATGACTCAAAGAGAGCCTTTTGAGGGGTCATGGCCTTGCTCCTGTTGTGTAAGGGAAGCATCCAGGCATTTCCAGGCGTGTGTGTGCACAAGGGGCCTGAAGTGCTCATGGTCTCTGCGGGGGCAGAAGCAGGAGCCATGGGCAGGACCGCAAGCACCCACCAGGTCACCTTTGAAGCGGATGGGAATAAGAACACCACCATGGTGCATGGGCATCTGAGTTTTGGAACATGTGATCAATTGTATGAGGGAAACCCCCCCATCTGGTTCGAAGTCTTAGCAGTATCCTGCAGCTTATGATGACTCATTTTCTGATGAAGAATCTTCAAGAAGAATAGCTGAGGGAGCTGGCATTGGAGGAAGCCAAGAAAGAGCCTGAAATCTTGAAACAACTAAAGTGAGGTGAAGGGCTGAGTGGAGGGAGGGCTTTTGCCACTGAGCAATTAAGCAGGGCTATTCCTCGGGAGAGGGTATCAAGTGAAGAGGCCAAGTACCTGGCGAAGGCCAAGGCCAAGCACCTGGCGAAGCAAATGGAAGAGAAATGCAGGACTTGTTCTGCAAAGAGCTGCTGGCTGAACCAAAGGAGAGCAACTCAGAATCCTACAAAGTCACAGTCACCACTGAGCAATATCGGGAAGCTGCTGGAGAGGTGGAAGCAAAGTTCAAGCAAGATGAGCTGCATCTTCTCTCTGCTGATCTGCTAGCCTGAGTTCTCCAGAACACCCAACCAGCCCTCCGCGGCTCCGCTTTGGCTGGCCAGCACAAGTGCTGTGCCAGTCAGGCCAACCAGAGCATGCTTGAGAGGCGAGTGTAGTCAACTTCTAGAACAAGCAAGACCTCCTCCATGTTAATTCCAGAGGCAGGACTTTTTTTGTTTCCCACTAGGAAGAAAGGAACCCCTTTCAGAAGAAGATGATTAGAGAGAAGCACCAGGAAGCAGACCCATAGGGGCATATTCCAGTTTGATGAGCTGCTGTTTGAAAAGCTGAGGCCTTAGATTGGCTATCAGCCAGCAAGGACACACCACAGTGTTAGTCAACCCCATCTATGACGATGAAAAGGGAGAGGCAGTCCTCTCCACCTTTTTAATTTTCTTTTTTTTTTTAAGTGTCTTATTTATTTGTCAGAGAGAATGAGAGAGAGAGAGAAGAGAGGGAGCACAGGCAGGGATAGTGGCAGGCAGAGGAGAGGGAGAAGCAGACTTCCTGCTGAGTTCCAGGGATCATGACCTGAGTCAAAGGAAGAGGCTTCATTGACCAGGCCACCCAGGCGCCTCTCTCTCTCTCTTTTTTTTTTTTTTGATATTTTATTTATTTATTCATAGAGATGCAGAGAGAGAGAAAGAGAGAGAGGCAGAGACACAGGCAGAGAGAGAAGCAGGCTCCATGCAGAGAGCCCGACGCGGGACTCCATCCCGGGACTCCAGGATCACGCCCTGGGCTGCAGGCAGCGCTAAACAGCTGCACCACCGGGGCTGCCCGGTGCCTTTCTTTTTAACTTTCTATTCAACGTTCTCTTCTCACCAAGCTCCATGGTCAAGCGAACCTTCAATCCAGCAAAGCCAGGGGTCAGGATGGGGGCTAAGGTAATTGGAGTAGGGGCAGGTGTAAGGGGGAGGCCAATCTCCGCCCAGCGGTGCTGGATGAAATTGTCTAGGCTGTGGTATGTTGGATTTCTCTTTTTCTTTTCTCCTTGACTATATAAGAGCTACTTCATTTTAACTGATGATGATTGTGCAACCAAGAAGACAAAAAGGAGAGAAAAGTGTCCCTTTTTCACTGGAGTAGTGTTTATGACTACAAGTGAAATAAGGCTTTTTTTTTTTTTTATCAACATGAAGGCAGTCTTGGCTTATGCAACCTCTTCTCTATTATGAATACTGACATCTTCACTTCACTAAATATAATATTTTCCAACAGGGAAAAAAAAGAGGATCTTATGTGTTTTCTACTTGCAAGTACCGGGAAGCCCAGAACACTGGCCAGGATGCTAAAGCACAATGCAATAAAAGCTACTGGACACTTCCTACTTCTCTAACGGGACTGCACTTCTCTCTACCAAAGAACCGTATCCTTTGGTGCCCCCACACTGCTTAGCATATGAGAAGTTCCTAAAAACACTTACTGAGCTGGATTGGATATTTTATTTTAAATTTTGCCTATGTGTTCTCATGACATAGATAATAGATACAGTTTGTTATTATTCAAATTACGTATTCTTTGGTGAATCCAAATACAAAGGATTTGGCTAAGAGCTAAGTTGTAGTTCTACATGGGCATGGGCTTGAGCTCAGTTCTTCCACTAACTAACTGGCTGTGGCACACCGTAATCTCTCTATAAAGGGATATAATTGGATTTTTCTGTTGAGAGATAATAAAGGTCCATCTGGAATTCCCTTTCCAGCTAAATGTCAGTGCAATGATGAGGGAGAGAAGAGGGTTTATTTTTTTTCTTAAGAGACTAAAAGAATACCACTATATAAAGATTTTCACTGAAAGAAATACTACAGGATTTATTTCAGAAAAAGAAATTTGGAAGAGAGAAATGTAAGAAAAACTGTTGAACAAAGTAATTGGTAACTATGTGGCAACTAAATCAGAGCTGACTATTTAAAAACAATAGCACAGGGCGCCTGGGTGGCTCAGTTGGTGAAGCATCTGCCTTAGGCTCAGGTCGTGATCCCAGAGTCCAGGAATGGAGTCCCACATTGCACTCTCTGCAGGGAGCCTGCTTCTCCCTCTGCCTATGTCTCTGCTTCTCTCTCTGTGCCTCTCATGAATGAATGAATGAATGAATAAATAAATAAATAAATACATAAATAAATAAATAAATAAATAAATAAATAAAATCTTTTAAAAAAAGATAGGAGGGATGTTTGGATTAAAGCATATTAAGGTTTTGATATTATTCAAGACTAAATGAGAGTAATTAATTTCAGATAAGTCAAAATGAATGTTAAATTTGGAGGGAGAATAAAACCTCAAACCTTTAAGATAAGGTGGAAGTAGAGGAAGGGATATAATGAAAACTCAATCAATCCAACCAAAGATAAGAATTTGGGTGGGGGGAGTTCCCTGGGTGATTCAGTCAATTAACTGTCTTCCTTGGGCTCAAGTCATGATCTTTGGGTCCTAGGATCAAGCCTTGAATCAGGCTTTCTGCTTGGTGGGGAGTCTGCTTCTCCCTATGCCTCTGTCCCTCCCCAACACCACTCATGTTCTCTCTCCCACTCTCTCCTTCAAATAAATATTTTTTAAAAAGAGCTTTTAAATCAAATAAATAAAAAAACATAAGAAGTACAAAGTACAAAGTAGGTCACACAAATGAACACATACATATCCATAGTTACCTTAACTGCACACAGAGTAAAGTTACCACTGGAAAGCAGAGATCACAGATGAGGTGGAAATAAGAAAAATGGACCTTAATGATATTTATGAGAAACACACCCAAACTGAAGCACCTGAAAGATTGAGACCAGAGGGAGGGAAAACGGTTTATTAGGCAAATATTACCCAAAAGAAAGCTGGTGTAGTTATTTTAGTATCAGGAAAAACTAAAAGGCAGAAAGTATCATTAGAGATAAGAGGCTAGGGCAGCCCTGGTGGTGCAGCGGTTTAGCGCTGTCTGCAGTGATCCTGGAGACCAGGGATCGAGTCCCACGTCGGGCTCCCTGCATGGAGTCTGCTTCTCTCTCTGTCTCTCTCTCTGTCTCTCTCTGAATAAATAAATCTTTAAAAAAAAAGAGAGAGAAATAAGAGGCTATAATAAAAGGAACATTTTTCTCACAAAGGTACATTTCTGAACCTCTTTTTAACCTAAGAACATAATCTCAAACATATAAACCCAAAATTGACAGAATTATAAGAAGAGATTGACAAATTCACAAAGTTGGAGAATACACCATCTTTCCAAGGACAGATTGAACATTTATGAATATTGATCATATACTAAGCTATAATGCAAGATTTAATAAATACAAAAAACCAATAATGACCAATTCCTGAACTCACTATCATAAAAATAGAAATCAGTAATGAAAAATAAGCAAAAAATTCTATACAGTTACTATTTTGTAAAAATAAACTCCAAATAATTCACAGGTCAAAGAAGAACTCAAACTATAATTCAGAACTGAGTAATAATATTTTTACACTTCCTTTCCACGATTACACTCTATCCCATCTTGACCAATGCTGTTAAAGACAAAACACCGACACTGACACACACACACACACACACACACACACTGTATATTGGAAATGAAAAAAACAAAACAGTCATTATCTGCAGAAGACTCCAATATTGAAAATCAGAGAGGATTGGGATCCCTGGGTGGCACAGCGGTTTAGCACCTGCCTTTGGCCCAGGGCACGATCCTGGAGACCCGGGATTGAATCCCACTTCGGGCTCCCGGTGCATGGAGCCTGCTTCTCCCTCTGCCTATGTCTCTGCGCCGCCCCCCCTCTCTGTGTGTGTGACTATCGTAAATAAATAAAAATTAAAAAAAAAAGAAAATCAAAGAGGATTAAGCACAGGCCATTGGTGGGAGAGAATTCGATACAATTGAAGAATACAAGATGAATATCCAAAAGTTAATTATTTGTCTATATGCCACAACAAATAGTTGGAAGCTAATTTTTAAAGAGGTACCATTTTACAATAGCTACAAAGTATTTCAGGTATCTAGGGGCAAATCAAACAAAAGATGTGTAAAATCATAAAATTTTTTTGAGTAACAAATGGATGAGAAAACTTGATACTTTAGAGATGGGAAATCTCCTCAAAGTAATATTAAATGATAGTATTAAATGCAATTTCACACAAAATCTCAGCAAGGCTTTTTGAAGAACTTTTACACTGATTCCAAAATGTAGTATAAGTGCAGAGGGCCAAGTATAACTAAGAAGGCTTTGAATAACGTAGGGAGACTTACTTTGCTAGTTATCAAGACTTACTAAGAAGTTATTATAATTAAGTTACTGGTACAGAGATAATATACTGTGAATCAGAACACAGAGAGCAGAAAAAGACTCATGAACATATGAAACACAATATGTATCAAGCTGGAATCACAAAAAGAAAAAGATTTTATAAATGAGGCTTGACACAGTTGGTACCTACAGCAGCTTGTACACAGTTGATGAAAGCTAGGGAGAGTAAAAAAGACCCTGTCTTCCAAATCCAAATGGTGGTAATCTGAGCTCTGGTCACTGCTGCTTCTAATCAGAGCTCTGGTCACTGCTGCTTCTAATCAGAGGTGCAGAAGTAGGCTGCCAATGCTGTTGCAACTCCATCTCCCTCAGGTTGAAGGGACTTCTGAGGATCTAAAGAGCAGTGCCACTTACTCCTCTCCCACCTTCTTCTTTTTACTCCATTTGAGAGCCAGACATTAAAGACTAGGACATTCAAAAACACTTGCATATAAGGAAAAAATTAGAAAATGATCCATGCATGCCCAGGGAAAGGTTTGAAAAAGACCTGAGAAGAACTTAAATTTACACCTCAGGTTAATAATCTTCAGCACAGAGACAGCCTCCAATTTAAAAAAATAACAAGGGGATCCCTGGGTGGCTCAGCGGTTTGGCGCCTGCCTTTGGGCCAGGGCACAATCCTGGACCCCGGAATCAAATACCGCGTTGGGCTCCCAGCATGGAGCCTGCTTATCCCTCTGCCTGTGTCTCTGCCTCTCTCTCTCTCTCTTTCTCTCATAAATAAATAAATAAATCTTAAAAAATAAAAATAACAAAATAACAAAAAACACCAAACCCTGGGAAAGAGGGAGAATCTGATTTCCAGCATTACCACATTATTGGATTCAAATGTCCAGTTTTCTTTCTTTCTTTTTTTAACATTTTATTTATTCATTCATGAGAGACACACAGAGAGAGGCAGAGACATAGGCAGAAGGAGAAGTAGGCTCCCTGCAGAGAGCCTGATGCGGGACTCGACCCTGGGACCCTGGGATCATGACCTGAGCCAAAGGCAGACACTCAACCACTGAGCCACTCAGATGTCCCAAATGTCCAATTTTCGACAGCAACAAAAACCACAAGATATGCAAAGAAGAGGAAAGTAGAACCCATTCAAAGGGAAAAAAACAAAACAGAAACTGTCCTGAAAAAGACCTGATAGTAGATCTACTAGACAAAGACTTTAAAACAATAGTCTTTAAGATGCTCAAAGAACTGAAGGAAGATTTGAAGAAACTCAAGAAAATAATGTAGGAACAAAATGGAAATATGAAAAAGGGAACAATAACCCTAGAAAGAAACCAAAAAGAAATTCTAGAACTGAAAAGTATGAAAATTGAAGTAGAAAATTCGTGGGGCATCTGGCTAGCTTAGTCAGAGGAGCATGCAACTCTTGATCTTGGGATTGTAAGTTCAAGCCCCATGTTGGGTGTAGAGATTACTTTAAATCTTTTTAAAAATCCATGAAATGAAAAATTCACTACAACAATCCAAAGACAGACTTGAACAAGCAGAATAAAGCATCCCTGAACTTGAAGCTAGGACAGTGGAAATGGTCAAATCTCAGAAACAGAAAGAAAAAAAGATTGAAAAAAATGAGAACATAATGGATCAGTAGGACACCATCAAAGAGTCCAACATACGTGTTGTGGGAGTCTCAAAATAGAAGAAAGGGGTAGAGAGCGTATTTGCAAAAATAGTGGCTGAACACTTCCTAAACCTAATGAAAGACATCAATATAAACATTCAAGAAGCTCAGTAAAGTCCAAGTAAGATGAATTCAAAGACACCCACAAAAAAAAAAAACAAAGACACCCACACCAACACAATATAATTCAACTTTTGAAAGATAAAGAGTAAATCTTACAAGTAACAAAAGAAGCAAATCATCATATACAAGGGATTCTCAATAAGATTATCAGCAGATTTATTATCATAAACTTTGGAGGTCATAAGACAGGGGCCCCATATATTCAAAATGCTAAAGGAAAAAAAAACACCTGTCAACCAGGAATCCTATATCCTTCAAAAGTGAGGGAGGAATTAAGACATTCCCAGATAAATAAAATTTGAGGGAGTTCATTACCACTAGACCTGTCCTGAAAGAAATGCTCAATAGAGTCCTGTGAGGTGAATCACAGGACACCAGACAGTAACTCAAAGCTGTATGGAGAAATAAAGATAAATACATGGGCAATTGTTTAAAAGCTAAGTATTATAGCAATGGTTTATAAATGCATTTTTTGTTTTCTTTATGATTTAAGAGACATAACATTTAAAGAATTATTAGTCTAAAAGCTAATATTATTGTAACTTTGGTTTATAACTCCAAATCTTTTCTACATAACTTAAGAAATGAATGCATTAACAAGAATTATTAGTTTATGTTTGGGCACATAATGCATAAAGATGTAATTTGGCGGACATCAACAACCAAAATGGGTGAGGACAGAGCCGTAAAGAAGCAAAGCTTTTGTATGTGATTGAAGTTAAGCTGGTATAAATTCAAATTAGAGTGTTATAACTTTAGGATGTCAAGTGTAATCTCCATAGTAACCACAAAGAAAATAGCCTTGGAATATATACACAAAAGGAAACGAGAAATCAATTTAAACATTTCACTACAAAAAATCAACTAAACACAAAAGAAGGCAGTGATGGAATCGAGCAATAAAAAAGCTATAAGATGTACAGAAAACAAATAGGAAAACGATCGAAGTCCTTCTTATCAGTAATTACTTTAACTGTAAATGAAATAAACACTCCAATCAAAAGACCAAGTTTGGCACAATGAGTAAAAATGTATGTGATCCAACTATATGCTGTCCACGAGAGATGCTTTAGATCCAAACACACAAATAGACTGAAAGTGAGAGGGTGGGAAAAGATATTCCATGCAAATAGTAACCAGAAGAAAACAGGGGTGGCTCTCCAAATATCAAAGAAAATAGATTTTAAATCAAAAAAGAATACAAAAGACAATGAAGGACATTATATATATATATATATATATATATATATATATATATATATATATATATATATATATTAAGGACATTATATATTAATAAAAGGTTCAAAACAAGATATAACAATTATAAACATTTATATACCTAAATATTTGTCCATTTGATCTAGGTTATATAATTTCTTAGTGTATAGTTATTCATAATACTCCTTAGAGCCCTTTTTAAAATTGTTTCAAGTCTGTTGTGATGTTTCCTCTTTCATTTCTGATTTAACAGTTTGAGTGTTCTCTTTTCTTCTTGGTCTGTGAAGCTAAACTTTTGTTAATTTTATCTTTTCAAAAAATTGATTTTTGGTTTTCTCATTATATTCTTTTCTCTATTTCATTTACTACCATTTTTTTTCAAGTTTCTTGGAGTAGAAATTTTGTTCATTGATTTGAGATCTTTCTAATATAAACTTTATTCTACACATGCCATTTGCTGCTTTCCTTAAGTTCTGGTATATTGTCTTCATTTTCTTTCATTTCTATTTCCTAGTTTCTCTGGGTTTCTTTGACTATTCATTATTTATGAGTGTGCTGTTTAAATCTCATATTTTTAAATTCCCCAAATTTCCTCCCTTTATTGATCTCTCATCTTGTTCCACTGGTTTGAGAACATACTCTGTATGATTTCAGTCATTTTAACTTTTGTAGGCTTTATGACCTAACATATGATCTATCCTGGATAATGTTCCATGTGCACTTGAGAAGACTGTGCATTCTGTTGTCATTGGGTGAAGTAGTCTAAAGATGCCAGGTAGGTCTAGCTGGCTTAGAGTGTTAAGTCATCTGTTTCCTTGGGCATCTACCAAGGTTTTCTGTTCATTATTGACAGTGGTATGTTGAAGTCTGCAGCTATTATTAAATCATCTGCTTCTCTCCTCAATTCTGTCACTTTTTGTTTCATGTACTTTGGTCTTTTTTTTTTTTTTATGGAAGGTTAGTTGATTTTTGGAGGTCCGTAGCCCACCATTCCAAAAGTGCTTCCATCCACTTGGAGCCTGGAAAATATGTGAGGTTTCCCACCAGAGACCTATATTGTTCTATAAATAGTTTTTAGGGTGCAGTATCAGGGTTCATGGTTCATAATGTACGATGATCTTATTCATTCTGTCTAGTCAGTTGTCACTTCACAGACCTATCTGGTACCACTTGAGGGTTATGATCAAAGTTGTAGATAAAAACTAGCATACTGACCCCTAATGCCCTCTTCAGTTTTCTCTTGTGAAAGTGATATGCCCATCACCTCCAACATCCTCAAACTTTACACTATATTTCAATGAGATTGTACATTTCATCTGAAAATCATAATCACCAAACTACAGCACTGTCAAGATTTTATCTCCAGCTAGAATCTGTGTAGATTGCAACTCAGATTAATTCTCTATCCTAGGGACGCCTGGTTCAGTGATTGAGGTCTGCCTTTGGCTCAGGGCGTGATCCCAGAGTCCCAGGATCAAGTCCCACAATGGGCTTCCTGTATGGAGCCTGCTTCTCCCTCTGCTTGTGTCTCTGCCTCTCTCTCTCTGTCTCTCTCATGAATAAATAAAATATTTTTTTAAAAAACCAAACAAACCTCTCTATTCCCAGATTCCCTAACTTCTCAGGACATAGCTTTATGTATCATAGATTATTTTAGCTTCTTAACTGCTCGATTCTCCATTACTCCTTTCTCACACTGTTGGTTTCTACTATAAGAAAACTCAAAGCGAAATGCTAAATCACAATTTCAGTAGTCTCCATAATGGGGAATTTTACCCAATACCTTCTCCACCTTTAGTCTCTGTCTTCATAACATGCTCTGAGATGTTTTTTCTATATGAAGTCTATCCAACAGTAAATATTAAATATTTATTTTGCATTTGGTGGTTTATGACAATGTGAGTTTTGCTGGCAAAAAGAGTCTCAAAACAATTATGGAAATCACTAGGCTAAATCATAGATTAAGTGGCTTACTGGGTGCTATTATGGATATCTGAGATACAACATGTTCTTCTGGAAAAGATTCCAATTACAGTGATTATAGTATTCTTGCCTAATACAGCTCCGTGCAAATACTCTGTACATGTGATTATGTGTGTGTGTGTGTGTGTGTATATATATATATATATATATATATAATCCCAGGTTACCTTATCCTATGTGCTCATGGTTTTCAATATCCTGTATCTACTTTTTATTCAAAATATTCTTTTTATTCAAATAGAATTGTCTATAGCTCATGTCTAGACAGAGACTAACCAGTGTTTGCTAACACCACTTTGAACCTTTTCCCCCAAAATCAATGTAAGCCCCGATTGACCACATATTATAGACTGAATTGTGCCCTGAGCCCCAAATTCATTATGTTGAAGCCGTAATCCTCAAAGTCAGTGTTTAGAGATAGTGCCTTATAAGAAATTAGGCTGGATGAGATCGTAAGGGTGGGGCCCTGATATAATGGGATGAGTATCTTATCAGAAGAGACAAGAAAGACATCTCTTTCCCTTTTCTCTTGCTCTCTCTCCCTCAGCAAACACTACCGACAGAGGAAAGATCATGAGGACTCAGTGAGAAGGCAGCTCTCTACTGGCCAGGAACAGACCCTGCTAGAGCTCAATCTGGGACTTTCCACCTCCAAAACAGTGAGAAAATAAATGTCTGTTGTTGAAGCCACCTTGCCTGTTTTGTTATGGCAGCCTGAGCAGACTTCTATATACCATGTTTATCTCTGGAGAGAGGCAGATGGATCCGACAAAGCCCTATGATTCAGAAGCATGTCATCTACCAAGAAGGGACATCTCATGAGAATACAACGTGATCAGTGCTTCTAACTCGCCTGGGAATTCTGAAAGGGCCCACAAAGCACACATTTTTAAAAAAGATTTTATTTATTTCAGAGAGAGAGAGCGCGCACAAGCAAGAGGAGGGGGATAGGGAGAAGCAGAATTCCTGTTGAGCAGAGATTCCCAATGGGAGGCTCAATCTCAGGACCCCGGGATCATGACCTGAGCCGAAGGCAGACACTTTAACTCCCTGAGCCACCCAGGCGCCCTGACAAACCACACATTTGAGCAAGGTTTTCTTTTTCTTTTTCTTTTTTTTTAAGATTTATTTATTTATTTATGATAGAGAGAGAGAGAGATAGAGACACTCAGGCAGAAGAAGCAGGCTCCACGCCTGGAGCCTGATGCGGGACTCGATCCCGGGACCCCAGGATCTCGCCCTGGGCCAAAGGCAGGTGCCAAACCGCTGAGCCACCCAGGTATCCCCTTGAGCAAGGTTTTCAACGATGTCTGGCCAGGAGAAGAAATAGCAACCCAGGAAGAGAGAACCCCCATCAAGGGCTGACATTATTTATTTATTTATTTAAGATTTTATTTATTTATTCATGAGAGAGAGAGAGAGAGAGAGAGAGGCAGAGACACAGGCAGAGTGAGAAGCAGGCTCCATGCAGGGAGCCCAACGTGGGAGTCGATCCCGGGTCTCCAGGATCACGCCCTGGGCTGAAGCAGCGCTGAACCGCTGAGCCACTCGGGCTGAAGGGCTGACATTTTAAAAGGCAGCTGTAGCTGAACACTGAGAGGCTAGACGGTATGACATGACAGGGCGCATTGGGAGAGGAGACTGAACAGATGCACTGGGGACAAGACGTGAACTTCCCCGATCGGCAAAACCCAAGAACTTACCTTTCAATGTGAGAAGACACCAATCAACATATTCATTTACTAGAGCTCTCAGAACAAAATACTACAGACTGGATATCTTAGCAACAGAAATTTATTTTCTCACTCTGGAGGTAAGAAATCTGAAATCAAGGTGTCAGAAAGATTAGTTTCCTCTGAGGCCTCTCCCCGTGGCTTGTAGATGGCTGCCTTCTCCCTGTATCCTCACCTGGTTGTCCTGCTTCACACACACCTGTGTCCACTTCCTTCTTGTAAAGATGACATTCATACTGGATTAGGGCCCACTCTAATGACCTCGTTTTTTGTTTTGTTTTTTTAATGACTTCGTTTTAATTGCTTCTTTAAAGACGCTATATCCAAATGTAGCCACATCTTGAGTTGTGGAGGTTACTAATTCGATGTTTGAGTAGAGCGGGGAGAGGAACACATCAGCCTAGAACAAGCAAGACACAGTAAGTAAACACAGGTGGAACACAAGTGAGTCTAGGACATTGCCTGCTGGAGGACTGATTCGTTTTACGCCATTTGTTCACTTTCCCCCCAGTGGACTCCCAGGTTTTGAAAGATTTCATCTGCTGAACTACCCCTATTAACTTATAAATTCTTCACTTATAAAAACCAAAGACAGTGTGCCAGTCAGATCTCATCAGCAAGCAACATCTGGAACTACCATACTGAGTCTATAACCAGGAAGGAAATTTGGCATTTACGTTAACCTATGAAGACTTGTGTGGGGTGTGCGTTTGTGGTTAGAGGTAGACTTTCTGGAGTAGAGCAAGTGCTGAAGTATGCGCTCCTACACACAGAGACGCCCTGGGTATGTCTCTGTTGTAGCACTTGGCATATCATATTGCAATTCTGTGGCTATGTGACTGCATCCCCATCAACAGGGACCTGCCTCACTCATTTCCACAACCCCAGCAATGTCCCTGATTGTCTTAAGTGGATTAAACCCAGTATCACATCTTTAAGACCTCTGGAGGGCACAAGACCACAAGTTGGAAAGAACTGGTCTAGGATCTTAAGTGTACACAGGAAGACTATTCATATGTTCATATCCTCCCCACAACATACACACTCTCACTTTAAATGCCAACACACAGTGGATGAAGATGCCACGGAGTATGTCACTGACAGTGCCCTGGGATTCTGAGCAGGAGCCGATCCAAAGCTGGGGCACTCAGGAAGCGCCTGGGTGGCTCAGCTGGTTGGGTGTCTGACTCTTGATTTCAACTCAGGTCATGATCTCAGGGTTGTGGGATCGAGCTGGAAGCCCTGCATTGGGTTCCATGCTCAGTAGGAGTCTGCTTGAGATCCTCTGTCTCCTTCTCCCTCCACTCCCCATGCATGCTCTTTCTAATATATATATGTTTTTTTAAAATATATATATTAAAGCTGGGGCACTCAAAAGACAGAAGGTGAGATGGGCTTTGACAGATAAAGAGGAGTTTGGAATAAGCAAAGAAGGGGGGACACATTCAAGTGAGGAAATAAGAGAAAATTCAGAGATGGAAAGGTATATAGTTTTCAGCAGGTAAAGTTTTTAAATCAATGCTTGATACACAGAGAAAATGTACAAATCATAAGGACACAGCTAAAAGAATTATCAGAAAGAAAATATATCTACATAACCCCCCCTTGAGATCATGAAATAGCACATTATTCCCTGTATCTCCTTGTGTATTTTTGAATATTAATCCATAAGATGTATTAGAAACACAGACACAAATGAGAAAGAAACAAATACCAGTAGGGGGACACATTCTGTCTCCTGGGTCCATCCTAGTAGGTTGAACAATGGCCACCCAAAGATAGCAAGTCTTAATCCCAGGAATTTGTTAATGTTACTTTATTTGGAAAAGAGGACACAGACACATCTTTTCAGGCCGCCATTCAACCTACGACAGCACTGAGATATATTAGTGTCATTCTGTCACCAAAATCATCTTTGGGCAAGTTACTAACAGAAGTTTACACCTGCTAAGTTGAGGGCCAAATCTCGGGATGCTGGTGGTACCCTTCTGCTCTGATGTCAAAATGTTGGGGTTTGGGAACAAACAGTCAAGAAAGAATTCTTGAGATGGCTTTGGGGCAAAAAGGTGGCTTTATTAAAGCACCAGGACAGGACCCATGGGCAGAAAGAGCTGTACCGGGGTCGGGAGGAGTGGCTCATTATATGCTTCCAAGTTGGGAGGGGGTTAGGGATAGCCTAAGTCTCTGAGGAATTTTAGAAGCAAGGTTTCCAGGACTTTGACAGGCTAGCTGTTAGGAAAAGGTCATTTATTACCATCTAATAAAACCTGAGTCATGAGAGCCTTCAGATGTGTATCGGTGGGTCATATGCTTGGAGGATGATTGCTAACATATACAATAAAACCCAAGGAATGGGATCCTTCAGTGATGCTTGGAGGATGATTGCCAACACGTATCTTGGGAGGTAGAAATAAAGGACATTTCCAAAGGAATTTTTATATGTTAAAGTAGATTCACAGGATCCTGGGGGTTGGGCTGAGATTGCCTCTTGCCCTTAGCAAAGTATTAACATCGAGGCAGCGTTTTTTTTTTTTTTTTAAGATTTTATTTATTTATTCATGAGACAGAGAGAGAGAGAGAGAGAGAGAGAGAGAGAGGCAGAGACACAGGCAGAGGGAGAAGCAGGCTCCATGCAGGGAGCCTATCGTGGGACTCGATCCTGGATCTTCAGGATCAGGCCCTGGGCTGAAGGTGGCACTAAACCACTGAGCCACCCAGGCTGCCCAAGGCAGCAGAGTTTCTACAGGAAGGTCACTCTGCCTGTTTCAAAAACTTGTCAATGGGCTGTAGGGAGTTAAGGAAGTTTAATTCTGGAACATCTGGGCGGCTCAGAGGTTGAGCATCTGCCTTTGGCCCAGAGTGTGACCCCTGGATTCTAGATAGAGTCCCACATCGGGCTTCCTGCGGAGAGCCTGCTTCTCCCTCTGCCTATGTCTCTACCTCTCTGTTTCTCATGAATAAATAAAACCTTAAAAAAAAAGGAAGTTTAATTCTTTTGTTTTTTTCTCCACATCATGAACTGTCTCCCACAATGATCCATCCCTGTCATCTCTTTCAATCAAAATATTTCCATTTTACAGGTAAATAAACTGAGCTTCAAAAGATGTGAGTACAGCTGCAGGTCACACATGGTGAGGCCAGACTGGAATTCAGACTCTGGTGTGATCATGAATTATACCCTCTCAGCTCTGACTTCCTTTCACTTCCTCCAGGATATGACAAAGTCCCTCACTTCAAAGCCGTAGGACTAGGACAGATAGTAAACACACAAGGAGGCTTGCCTAGAATCTGAAAAAAAATTTTATATCCTCAAAAAAAAAATTTTATATCCTCTTGAGTTTTTTCTTTGCCCTTACAGCCCCGAGTCCCTGGGCCTTCACTTAGATAGCAGGGCTGTCCCTTTGCCCTTATAGTCATACCCTCTAAGTTGGCCACACTGTGTCTGTGTGCTACTTCAGAGAGTGCTTCCCAGAACTGCCAATGAGAACAAACTTTTATGGAGTTTTTATTTGCCAGGCTCTAGTCTCAGCACTTCAGTCATGTAACTTCAATTTAATCCTGACAACCCCATTAGATAAATTACCACTATTATCTGGAAATGAGGAAAGAGGCATAGAAATTAAATATCTTGCTCAAGGCTACAAAGCTAGGAAATGAAAGCTGCTATTGAAAAGTAGGCAGCCTGTCTTCAGAGCCCTGCGTTCTTAACCTCTGCCCTCTATGCTGCCTCTCCTTGTGCCACCTCAGAGTAGGAAAATACCACCTACGTTGTTTTAAACGTTATACTCCAAGTAATGCAACCTAAGATCACAGGCAGTTACACTGTGAATGGGCATTTGCACTTTGCTAGAGTCCCCAAAAGCCACAGACCTGGAGAAAGAAGTATGTGGCAGGGGTGGCAGGGAAGGGGTGGATAGGCAGAAAGGAGGCTAAGAATATGAGAGGTCCAGACACAAAAGCAAATGAAGGATCAAAGGGTAAAGCGGCAAGCAGGGACCAGGTGCAGGAAGATTGTGGGCTGCGTTAGGACAAATCTCACAAACACCACATTTGCATTACAGCACTAGTAAGAGTCCTCAAAGGCAGGTCAGACACTCCTCCGCAGCACCTAGAAAAGTACCTGCATGCAGTAAACCTTTTAGACATGGAAGATAATGGAAGAACCGTTGGGTCTTTCCAAAGATTTAGGGGATCTGCTCTTGTGCCGTCTCTCCAGCTTCATCTCAAAGACCCATACACCTTAATCACGTCACCATCTTATTGGCAGCCCTGCCCCCCTTTCCATTTACACAAAATCCACTGTGGCCACTCAGCTTCAATGCTGTGAAGGTGTCCTTTATGGCTTCTGCCCACAAGGACCTCTGGCTTTGGAACCCAAGACAATTTCTGCCTCTGCCCCCATTGGGCCCTGACATCTCCTGATGGTTTTTCTTCCATGATTTAAATCTTGTCAGCTAATTTCATTCCCAGAAAAATGATACGATATGCTACTTCACATTATTCACAGTATTTTGAGTTTTTTTTTTAAAAAAGATTTCATTAAAAGAGATTTTATTTTATTTATTCATGAGAGAGAGAGAGAGACAGAGAGGCAGAGACACAGGCAGGAGAAGCAGCCTCCATGCCAAGGAGCCCAATGCGGGACCTGATCCCGAATTCCGGGATCACACCGAGCCAAATGCAGACACTCTACCACTGAGCCACCCAGGCACCCTGAGCAGTTTTTTAAACATACTATGTGCTGTTTTTCTCAGTGACTGTAGAGTCTCAAGAGAAAAGAAGTAACAGCTCTAGAAAATTCAGTTTATTTTAATCCTTTTGTACTGATGTCTGGAACACGAAAAATACAAAAACACAAGATGTGAAATGCTGGGAGTGCCTAATGCAGTGGAACCTCCAGGCCAAAATATGTCAGGCACTGCTCAGTGTTGAAAGAACCCAGCTAAATCTCAGTTTAATAATTAATTTTTTTGTTACGAAGCCAAATGTGTTGATATTGAGGAAAGTCTAGTCTAGAACCCGTAAAGGAGAATAATAGGGAGTCCCTGACCCTCGGGCATTTCAAAAGCCTACTGGAAATCATAAATCTAACAATAAAACTACTCCAGCTAAAACATCACAGTTCTTCACTTTTAGCGGAATTTTAAGAACTTGGTGCAATTATTTTAGTTATGGTGTAGAAGCCAAAACGTCTGAATGTTATGTTTTTGATTAGTAAAGGGAAACTGAATTATCATTTCATAGGTAAAATCTTTTAAAACATGAATCCCATTAGAAAAAAATAATTTACAACCTTTCAGTGTTTGTGGTGGGGAGGAGCAAAAGCTTCAAGGAACTTAGGAACAGGAGTTACTGTCTTTTTTTTTTTTTTTAAGATTTTATTTATTTGACAGAGAGAGAGAACACAGTAGGCAGAGTGGCAGGCAGAGGGAGAGGGAGAAACAGGCTCCCCTCTGAGCAGACACAGGACTCAACCCCAGGATCCTAGGATCATGACAGGAAGAGGGCAGACTCTTAACAGACTGAGCCACCCAGGCACCCAGGTGTTCCGGTCTTAATTAACAACAGTCCATTTATTAAGCCCTGACTATGTGCTCTATGAGCATGCTCTCATTTAATCCTTACAACCTAATGAAGGTACTATTTTTACCTTCAATTTATTTTTATGTTTTTAAAGATTTTATTTATTTATTCATGAGAGACACAGAGAGAAACAGAGAGGCAGAGACACAGGCAGATGGAGAAGCAGGCTCCATGCAGGGAGCCTGACATGGGATCCTGGTCCCCAGGATCACGCCCCCGGCTGAAGGTGGCGCTAAACCACTGAGCCACCCAGGCTGCCCTTTACCTTCAATTCATAGATGAAACTGAGCTCAAAGAGTTCAACGGCTTGTCCAAAGCCATCCAGCTAGCAAGTGACATGTTCAAGAACCAAACTCCAGGCACTTGGTTCCAGAGCTTATGTTCTTCATCACCGTACTGGATCATTCATTCATCCCCTTTCCTCTCTCAGGTCGGATAACCCCTGTCTTCCCAATAACTAAAGGAGGAAGACTTTCCACGAGGTTCAAGCTGAGGCATGAAGCAGAATGTGAGAAAACAAGACTCCTGGGTGGTACTTGTAGACACATCATACCCTGGATTTCAGATCTGACTAGTCTGGGGAAACGTGTATCTTCTAAGAACTCTTGAGTTTTGAGGCACAACTATGTGAAAATTCCATGCTCTGTGGCCTGGTGATAATGACCCCAAATTCCTCATTCTGCTGCCTTCGGTACCTACCTCCTCTTGACCATGGCTGTCATTTTATCAATACTCAAAGCCATCCTCATGGAGAATGGGAGAATGGGATGAGAAGAGAAGCAGGTGATTCTTTTCAGCACTGCCTGCTATCTACCCTTTTGTTTCAACCTTTTTTTCCTTTTTCTTTAGATAAAAGATACTTTCGGATAGTGCACACATTCTCTTCAACAAATGACCCAAAATAAGGCGGAAAGCCCAGGTGCATTTCTAGACTTTTAAAGAGGTCACTCCAGATCCCAAGGAGGTGGTGGCTTCTGTAAGTTGGGATCTCTGGCAGTCCTATTCCATGCCTGCAGCCCCACTTCTGGGCTGATGGGTAGAACCTGTCCTGTTTCAATTCCTTAACGTTAGGAGCAAGCAGTCCTGTAGGCTTCCCGTTGTCCCATGCCCCCTGGTAAGTCCTAATAAAGAATGATGCCAATCTCAAAGTTGAAGCCTACCTGAACCAAAGGCCAGGACACAGCTGGAACTCGACAGATTTTATCTTGCAATTTACTTCACCAGGTTCAACGAGGCTTGAACTATCCAAGAAATTTATGACTAGATCACAGCAGCAAAGCTGACCCAATGGTGGTTCCGGTCAGTTGGCGGAACTCTAGCAGGAAAAAGGCAAGATTATGTTGCCATGATCTCATCTTGAAATTGGTAAAGTAGGTAAACCAGTAAGTATGTCTGAGTATTTATTTACCGAACATAAAGGAGAAAATGATCCAGCTTGGGCAACCATAAAAGTACTCAGAGGTTAAGCAAAGTGAAAGGGATTTTTGAAAGGCAGAGTTCAGAAATACTGTCTCACATCTTTGGAGAACCATTTCGTAAATTTTATAAGGAGCGTCACTAAACACGTAGGCAACTTCAATGGAGGTAGGGAGCTCCGCACACAAACTGCCTGAGTTATAGCCAGTTTAAAGCGGTCATTTCCATAAGCACTGAATTCCACCACATAACATGCAATTCAACTAAAGTGCTACTGTACACATCTTTTATTTGCATTAGAAAGGCATCAATCACCTCATGCTACAATATGTAATTAAGGAGTAAATGTACTACTTCGCTTAGCCTCACAAGACAAATATTGTATTACTGTAGGAAATTTTGTATTACTAAAGTAATACAATGATAAATACAGTTGACCCTTGAACAACCCGGGAGTTAGGGTCACCAACACTGCCCCTCCCCAGCAGTCAAAAATCCAAGTATAACTTTTGACTCCCCCAAAACTTATCTACTTGTAGCCTACTGTTAATTGGAAGGCTTACGGAAAACATCAAGTCAATTAAAACGTATCCTGTATGTGATATGCATCGTACACTGTACTCTTACAATAAAGTGAGCCAGAGAAAAGAAAATGTCAAGAAAAATACAATACTATATTTATTGGAAAAAACCTCACACGGTTCAAGTCTGTGTTGTTCAAGGGTCAACTGTATATATGTGAAAGGCTACCACTACTTACCTAAGCTATCTGTGTCCCTTATGTGGTTAACAACCTACATTTTATAAAGCAAGTTATCTAGTACTTATACTTTGGTGTTTTAAAAATTGTTCAATTTATAAGAAGGCACTAAAAAACATACTGGAATGAATGAGTTTCACACAGGCAGAACCAAATATAGAAATTCACAAGCTATTGATCAGGAGGGAGCTCAGGAAAAGTCTGGGATAATATTTTTCTCAATGGAGAAGACGGGTTCATTCACTGGTAAGGAGCTGGGCGCCTGTAATGTACTAAGGATGATGAAGCAGAGGTGAGACTGGGGGCTGGGAGGTACACAGGCAGGTAGGTGGCTGGAAAGGTTTAAGTGATGAGAGTTCGTTTATTTGTTTATTTATTTAAGATTTTATTTATTTATTCATGATAGAGAGAGGCAGAAACACAGGCAGAGAGGGAGAAGCAGGCTCCATGCAAGGAGCCTGAAGCGGGACTCGATCCCAGGATTGCGCCCTGGGCGGAAGGCAGATGCTAAACCGCTGAGCCACCCAGGGATCCCATGATGAGAGTTTATTATTATTTTTTTAATTTTATTATTTATTCATGAGGATACACAGAGAGGAGACAGAGAGGCAGAGAGGCACAGGCAGAGGGAGAAGCAGGCTCCATGCAGGGAGCCAGCCGTGGGACTCCACCTAGGGTCTCCAGGGTCACACCCTGGGATGAAGGCAGGCACTAAACCACTGAGCCACCTGGGCTGCCCCTGTGATGAGAGTTTAGAACAGTCACTGTGAGGTATGGGAAAGCTGACCTGGGACAGAAGGAAGAGACCAGAGACCACGTGTTACTGGGCACCAAACAAATGTAGAGCCTCCCACCCCCTAACAGCAGGCATTCAGTGGTTGTGGAAAGGGACCCTGGGCTGAAACTGAGACCTAGGCCCTGGCACTAACCAGACGGATGCTCTGGCAAGTCATGCACAATCCAGAGGGAGCTCTACTCCAAATTCTCTTTTTACTGGTAAAAACAAAAACACTAAAGAGCACGCCACTAAAGATCGTGCAAGAGGGGATCCCTGGGTGGCTCAGAGGTTTAGCGCCTGCCTTCGGCCCAGGGCCTGATCCTGGAGTCCTGGGATCGAGTCCCACATCAGGCTCCCTGCATGGAGCCTGCTTCTCCCCTCTGCCTGTGTCTCTGCCTCTCTCTCTCTCTGTGTTTCATGAATAAATAAATAAAATCTTTTTTTTTTTTTTTTTTTTTTTTTAATTTATTTATTTATGATAGTCACAGAGAGAGAGAGAGAGGCAGAGACACAGGCAGAGGGAGAAGCAGGCTCCATGCACCGGGAACCCGATATGGGATTCGATCCCGGGTCTCCAGGATCGCGCCCTGAGCCAAAGGCAGGCGCCAAACCGCTGCGCCACCCAGGGATCCCATGAATAAATAAATAAAATCTTAAGAAAAAAAAAGATCGTGCAAGAACACACGGTTACTAGTCACACACACAGTTGGCATGATTCCGTCCAATCCACAGAGACTATGGGAAAGACAAACATCTAATACAGTTCCCTGGCTATTTCTTTTTCCTTTCTAGCCTCAGGAAGAGCAAAAAACAAACGAAAAAAATCCAAACATCTGGCCACATCTACCTTCTGGATTCTTGTCTTGGTGTGAAGTCACCATCACAACAGGCAATAAATCTGGCTTTATTTTTAAACGTCCAGCGCGAGCGCCACCTGCTTTTAACCCTTAACGTGTGCAATCCAGCAGGATAAGGGGTCGTGGACACACCGATCCAAGGGTGGGCGTTTCCGGGCAGAGCTCCTGACACGGGAGATGGTAGTGGGCAAGCTGGTTTTCTACCTGCAAGGATGCACAGACCTTGAGAAGTTCCGACCCTAAACATCACCCCCTGCACCCCCTCCGAGGCAGGCGTCCCAACTAGCTCCCGATGGCCCGGGGCAGGTGCACGCCCCGCGTCACCCCGCGTGCCCCGCACGTGCGGAGACGCGCCCCAGTGTTCCCGCGAGAGCACGAGGCCCAGGGCGTTAGTTCTCGGGGGCGGCGCGCGGGCGGACCTGCGGGTGGGTGCTGCGCTGGGGCGCGACCCCCGCCCACGGGGCGCCCACGGCGGGTGCAAGCGCACGCGGGCGGGCCGGGGGTCCGTGTCTCCTGCTCCGCGGCCGGGGCCGGTCCTCCGGCGTCGGCGGGCAGGCGAGCCGCGGGGAAACACGGTGGCGGCGCCGAGCGCCCCGAGGTCACTCACGTTTCCCGGCCGCCGCCTGTCTCTCTGCTCAGCACCGCACCGCGAACGCCCCGAGCCCCGGCCGCGCTCCCGTGCCGCCCCGAGCGCGGGTGCCCCTACACCCGCCAGGCCCGGCCGTAGCTAGACGCGGGGCGCCGCCGACACGTGACCACCGCACGTAGCCTCCCGCCGCGGGCGCCGGCTCCCCCGGCGGGGGCGGGGCGGGGCAATGTACGCATGCGCGCGCATGCGCGAGACGGGCGCGCTCCTCCCGGCGACGGTTTTTTTCCAGGCCGCAGAGCGCCTGCGCCGCGTGTCGCTCCACGGCCGGCGGAGGGAGGTCCCGCGGGCTGCGGCCGGCGCGCCTGCGCAGTGGCTGGACGCGGGCGTTTCTTTCCTCCCTTTTTATAGCGTCGGGTCGGGCGGGGTAGAGCGGAGTTGTAAGATGGCGGCCCGGAGCCCGCCGGCCGCGGCTCCTCCGGCGGCCTCTGGCTGAGCGGACTGCCCTCCCCCGCCGCCGGGCACGGAGAGGCGCGGCCCCTGGAGGACATGGTGCTTGCGGCCCGGGGCTTGCTGACCACCAAGCTCTCGGAGAACCCCGGCGCGGCCAGGCGCGCTCACCCCGGCCGGCGGCCGCCTCATCCCCGAGGCCCGCGCGGGCGCCCGCACCTGCTCGTGTCCCGCAGCGGCGCCCGCACCTGCTCGTCGTCCCGCAGCGGCGCCCGCACCTGCTCGTCGTCCCGCAGCCGGCTTGCACCGCGCCCGCACCCGGAGAGGGCCCCCGGCGGGCGCCCGGCAGGTGAGAGGCGGCGGCGGCGTGAGCGGGGGGCGGGGGGCGGGGGGCGGCGAGCCCGCGGAGGAGGCCGGGTCCCGGCTCCGGATGGGGTACCTGGGGGGGAGGGACCTGGGGGCGGGGGAGGGGGGCACTTGGGGAGGAGGGACCTGGGGTGGGGTGGGGACCCGGGGAGGAGGAACCTAGGGTGGGGTGGGGGGGATCTGGGGAGGAGGGACCTGGGGTCGGGGGAGGGGGGCACTTGGGGAGGAGGGACCTGGGGTGGGGTGGGGGACCTGGGGGCGGGGGAGGGGGGCACTTGGGGAGGAGGGACCTGGGGTGGGGTGGGGGGGGCCTGGGGAGGAGGGACCTGGGGTGGGGGGGAGGACCTGGGGAGGAGGGATCGGGGTGGGGTGGGGGGGACCTGGGGAGGAGGGACCTGGGGCCGGCAGGGGGGCACTCGGGGAGGAGGGACCTGGGGTGGGGTGGGGGGGACCTGGGGAGGAGGGACCTGGGGTCGGGGGAGGGGGGCACTTGGGGAGGAGGGACCTGGGGTGGAGGGACCTAGGGTGGGGGGGACCTGGGGAGGAGGGACCTAGGGTCGGGGGGAGGGGGGACTTGGGGAGGAGGGACCGGGGAGGAGGGACCTAGGGTGGGGGGGGGACCTGGGGAGGAGGACCTAGGGTGGGGGGGACCTGGGGAGGAGGGACCTAGGGTCGGGGGGAGGGGGGACTTGGGGAGGAGGAACCCGGGGAGGAGGGACCTAGGGTGAGGGGGAGGGGGACTTGGGGAGGAGGGACCTGAGGGGGGGACCCAGGGAGGAGCGACCAGGGAGGAGGGACCTGAGGGGGGGACCTGGGGAGGAGGGACCTAGGGTCGGGGGGAGGGGGGACTTGGGGAGGAGGGACCTGGGGAGGAGGGACCTGGGGTGGGGGGGGGGGAGGGGGGCACTTGGGGAAGAGGGACCTGGGGTGGGGTGGGGACCCAGGGAGGAGGGACCTAGGGTGAGGGGGAGGGGGACTTGGGGAGGAGGGACCGAGGAGGAGGGAACTGGGCTGGATCGGGGGCCAAGCCCGCGGAGGCGGCCCGACTGGGGATGGGGCCTGGGGAAGGAGGGACCTGGGAGGGGGAGTTGGGGTCTGGGTGGGGGGAGTGAGACCTGGGGAGGAGGGACCCGGGGTCGGGCGGGGGGAGCCGGGTTGGGGCCGTGGCCGGGTTGGGGTCGGCCCGGTGCGGTGACCGTGGTGCGGAGCGGGGCCCAGGCTGCCGTGTCGGGTCCCCCCTGGGGCTTCCCCTCGGCGTTCTCCCGTCCCTGCCCGCTGCCTACGCCGGGGCCTTGCTCCCCTCCGCAGTCCCGGGCTGCCGGTCACCCCTGTCCTCTGCCCCGTTAAGCAGTTTTGAGACTTCGCCTTCCGCAGCCTTCCAGTCTCCGGGCTCCGCCCCCCCCCCTTTCTCTTTTTCTCTCTCCGTCAAGTATGGTCACACCTGTTCTCGGCTCGGGGTAAACCGATGTCTGAAGTTCAACCCCGAGGTGGAGGCAGCACCTGGTGGCAGAGACCACGGAACACTATCAGGCACAAATAATAGTTTCCTCCAATTACGAGTACTCTCAATTTCCTATCAGTACTTCATACCTACGAATCATTTTAAAATTTGGTGCCTCTTTAACCACAAGCCTTAATTTTTTTTTCAATTCTTTTTTTTTTTTTTTTTTTTTTTTTTTTTACAATTTGGTTTTTAAGTAATCTGGACACCCACGGCGGGGCTGGACCTCACAACCCCGAGGTGGAGAGCTGCATGCTCCACCAGTCAGCTAGCCAGGCACCCCTAAATGTTTAACTGTAGCCAAAACTGAAGACTCTTTGGTGCTGGGCCTTGTTCTGAGTACGTCCCAGAGATTTTTCCCCCTCCTCTTTTTGCATAAAAAATATTATCTGGAGCATCCTACTTTGAAACAGAATACAGATTTGCTAAAATATATTTTATTTTATTTTTTAAAGATTTATTTATTTATTCATTCAGAGAGAGCGAAGAGAGAGGCAGAGACACAGGCAGAGGGAGAAGCAGGCTCCATGCAGGGAGCCCGATGTGGGACTTGATCCCGGGTCTCCAGGATCACACCCCGGGCTGCAGGCGGCACTAAACCGCTGCGCCACTGGGGCGCCACTGGGGCTGCCCGCTAAAATATATTTTTAAAGCCTGGCTCATAATTCTCTTTTTCTACCCTATGCTTCATACATTATTGGGGAAAAGTAGTATTTTGTAGCCTTTGCTTCTAAGAAAACTTGTGTCTGTAACAATGTTTATTAAGCCCTTCCTCTGTTCCGGGCAGTGTTCTGAACTGTTTTCAATTTATCTTCCTTAATTTTCCCAACGCCTTTCTCTTGTACAGGTGAAGAAAGTGAGTCATAGCAGTTTTAAATGACTTGCCAGAGGTTTAGCAAGAAAATGGCAAAACCGAGATGCCGGCATCTTGTAGTATTCTCTAAAATAAGTAGGGCCCCAGATCAACCAGCCACTTGCTGGAGCACCTGCTGTGAGCTGAGCCGCAGATTTGGGGCAATGGGAGTAGAGCCGGAAGCAAAAGGGAGATCCCTGCCCTGTGGTTAGGTGGCCAGTAGTCTGGGGGAGCAGCTGTTTGGTTTTGGTGGTTGTACTCCCCTGGTTATCTTTCACTTGTGGGCCTGACTAGATGTGACAGTTTCATTACAGTTTGCACTTTCAGCTCCACCCCCTTTTTGCCTTAATAACTCTTAGCAAAAAGGACTCCTTCAACTTCTCGTCTCTTCTGCCCCCTGGTGGAGGTGTTAGTTACTGACTAGGGAAAGACTGCGCAGAGACCAGGCCTCTCACCAGTGGAAGTTCAGTAAGGAAATGGGTCTGAAAGGGTTTTGCTTGCTTGTATCTGAATGACCAAGATTAATGGCAAAATCTGACCAGGTATTTGAGGGGGAGACCTTAAAAAGAGGGATTTGCAGATAATGGCTGAGTATCCTTCCTACTTTGTGTTAGCATCGTGGACTTGAAAGCCATTTATTTTATAATCAGGGAAAAAACCATGTACATCCTTGTATAGAAAAGTTCAGACATTATTAGGATATTATTAAAAGCTGAAAATGCCCAATGTAGTTACGCGTACAGGAGGTCAGATATTGAAGGACTTTCGAATGTCAACGTCTGAATTTTATTTCATAGATACTAAAGGGAAATAGTGTGTGAAAGTGTATCTTAGTAATCATGAAATTCTAGGAACTGACTCTGGTGGTTTGTGGTGTTGAGACAAGAGAGTGGGTAAAGACCATCAGGAGTCGGGATCCCTGGGTGGCGCAGCGGTTTGGCGCCTGCCTTTGGCCCAGGGCGCGATCCTGGGGACCCGGGATCGAATCCCACGTCGGGCTCCCGGTGCATGGAGCCTGCTTCTCCCTCTGCCTGTGTCTCTGCCTCTCTCTCTCTCACTGTGTGCCTATCATAAATAAATAAAAAAATTTAAAAAAAAAAAAAAAAAAAAAAAAGACCATCAGGAGTCTACACAGGTTTCAGGAACTCTGAATGAACTTCCCACTTGCCCAGGACAAAGTGGGAAATGGAGGGTTTTTTAGTCCATTCAGCTGGTGAGTTAGAGAACAAGCCAGCACAGCACTTACAGTGGAGCTCTCTATTGGTTGTTGTGCTATTTTTGCTGTTTAGAGCAAAGAATATATGTTAGGATCAGAAAACACTGCAAGTTATAAGCGCTGGGTACTAGCACCCTCTCTGGTTAGGTGCGTCTATCTACAGAGAGTACAGTTGGTCCCTGTCTCCTCCTCTTCCCTGGGACATGGTGGCTTTAGAGGAGTTAAGCTGATGGCTTATTCTTTTATAAGTTTTCAGTGTTAACACATGTATATTACATTTTAAACTTTCACATGATCTAGCTTAGCAGTATACAATTTGGGGTAATTAAATATTCAGTCTTGGGAAATTTACGTCCTCAATAAAGCAGAGTACTTGTGCTGTGAAAGTATTTCCAGTGCCTTATTAAAATTCTTATCTAAGGATGAACTTCTTTATTGGATCATCTTTTTTTTAAAAAAAATATTTTATTTATTTATTCATGAGAGACACACAGAGAGAGAGAGAGAGAGAGAGGCAGAGGCAGAGACACAGGCAGAGGGAGAAGCAGGCTCCATGCACCGGGAGCCCGACGTGGGATTTGATCCCGGGTCTCCAGGATCGCGCCCTGGGCCAAAGGCAGGCGCCAAACCGCTGCGCCACCCAGGGATCCCTATTGGATCATCTTTAAGAGCATTTTAAGTTTTGCCTGTAGCAAGACTATAATTGTAATTTGCATAGAGTAAATTTAGCACTTGTTGATTACGTATACAGTACTTAAGATTTCACATTTTTAAAAGTGTTTTATTTTAACTTCTTTTAAATGGAGCTGGTTTAGCATTGT